ACACCCCCTAAAAAAGGTACGTTTTTTAAAGGGTTTTTCCTAATATTTCAGAATAGATAAAATTACAAAATTTGGTACCTTTATATGTACACCCAAACAAATGTCAAATAACAAAATTTTTAATCAGGGGCGTCCTAAACGGTAAAACAAATTTGATTTTTAATTTTTATGATGTTTATGGTCTGTAACATAAATTTTTAAACCGATTTTTACTAAAAAATCCGTAAATTGTATCGGAAAAACACAAAAGACCTTTTTTTATGAAAAACTATGAAATTTTGTTGCAGAAAGTGGCAAGAAACCACAGGCAAAATAGTTACAGCAAATTTTTACCCTAATCCCATCTAGTTTAGGAAGCACCTAATTAAAAAAAATACATTTTATTTTTGTACTTGTTTAGGTGTATAAAAGTTATCATCTGTAGCAAATTTTGAAATTTTTTTCTAAAATGATTTCGGAAATATTGAAAAATAAACTTAAAAGACGCACCCCTTGCGTAGCATTTTTCGATATATGTTCATAAAAAAGATTTTGTTTTAAAAATGAATATTCATTTTCTGTTTAAATTTGTAACAATAAAAAGTATTTATTAGTAATTTATTTTATTTTTTGTTACTTTTGTGAGTTAATTTGAATTTTTTTATGTTTAATTAGGATCTCTTATTTTAATTTAAAATAAAAACGTGTACTTAGAGATTTTTAATTTTTAATCCGCCTTTTTTCATTTCATTTTCATGGGCCAACAAGAAACCCCCCCCGAAATAAAATCCTGGTTACGGCCCTGCACTGAACAAAAACTTGAAGCCTAATCAGTCTCAATTATTAAGAGTAGAGACTTCAATAACATTAATGAAAACAATTTTAATAAAGACGTACAAAACATTTGTTGGACTAACCTTTCTGAAATTAATAGTATATTATGTAACTAGTGTTATAAACGCCACTGTAGACATGAGTTTTATTAGACACGAGCGAAGCGCAGCGGAGCGAGTGTTTAATGAAACGAATGTCTACAGAAGTTTATATATGTGTTACATACTATACTTTTTCTACGATCACCACAAAAAATTACTAAAAAAAAAATAAAAATTTGTACTTAATTTTAATTTAATTTGCTATTATAGTTTACCTTTGTAAATAGGTATTCCTTGTCAGGAGCAGACGATAAGAATTCTTAAATTTTCTGTTTTCGACTTTTTAAGGATAAATTTTTACTTTAGCTACTTTTGAAATCAAAAAAATTTTTGCAATTTGCTTTATAAAGCCTCTAGATTGAAGATATGACCTTGAAAGTTTGTGCAAATGCCTCGTTTTCGAAGTAATGACCTTGAAATGACCTTGACACAAAAAATTCCATTTTTTATTTTTGCATTTTGCTTTACAAACCATGTAAATTAAAGGTACAACTTTAAAACGTTGATCAAAAGCCTCACTTCCAAAGTAATGACCTTGAATGTTACAAATGTCAAAATTTTAAATTTTATTTTCTTGCATTTTGCTACAAAAAGCATCTGGATTGAAGGTATGACGTTGAACGTTTCTTCAAATGTTCTGTTTTCAAAGTAATGACCTTGAATGACCTTGGATACAATTTTTTTTTTGTTTCTTGGTTTAAAAGATCTGTTGATTGAAAATATAACCTTGTAATGAGAAAATATTAATTGTGTTGCCATTTGGTCATACATAAAATGGGGTCGTAACCGATAGTTTAATACATTTTACACACTAAAATTTAATAAATAATCGATAATAAATGATATTAACCGTAAATGTCAAAAAAGTAATTATAAACGATACACAACGAACGAAAAAAGAAGAATACTCCTCGAACGATTTAATTCGTAAACGTAAACCTCGAAATGTGAAATACGCGTTTTTATGGACTTTTTATCAAGTGTGCATTTTGAATATATTTATAAGTTTTTAATTTGTTACGCACGACTCCATGAAATGTATGTCTAGTGAGACCACGTAGAGGTGGCAACGTTCTCACCGGGGAGGGATAGGATCTAGGTTTGTTAGTATCGGTAGGTATATTGGTAGGGAAGAAGAAGAACAAAAGACATAATGAATAAAAATGTAAAAGGCCAAAATGAAAAACACCCTCAAAAAACTGTGAATAATCGGTACAAATGACTAGCCCCAAGTGCAAAAATGTGGAAAAAGAAAATTGAAAAAAATTAAGAATGGGGAATTCCTGGGGAATAGCTGTGATGCCGCGGTCCAGAAATGATGTAGACGCTCTTGATGATCTGAGTAGGTCCACAGAAATACGATAATCCGTGTTTTAGATGTGGGAGTAGAAAAAAACATTTATGATCGTATGTGCATATTTAACATCACGCTTGCTATGATTAAACGTAATTATCATCCTCATTACATTACAGACTTTATTGAAAAATTAAGTCCTTGTAAAGCAATTATTATTAGAGCTGCAGTTGTTTGTTGCATCCACCTCCACAAAAAAAATCGCAGGGATTGAGATCTGGGGAATGATTTGGAAAATTTGCCGGAGCTTCATTACATCCTAACTCACGTTGTTGAAGACACTTCGTTCAAACAATTTTCCAATATCAAAACAAACATTTCAATAGTTTTCTTTTTAGTTCTCGAAATTTTTAATACCGTGCGATCACAAAAAAAATAAATTAGAGTAGGCGGTGATTAAAGTCCTTCAGAGGGCAAATCTGTTTTCGACGTCAAATGTTAGCGGAAACTTTGACAAGTTTGCGTTTTGTTCGTTATAAGTGAAATAATGTTCACTTTAGAGCAGAAAACTTTTATTGTAAAAATGCTCTACAAGACGAAAATGGCGAATGGTCATTTTCATTTCCAGTTTGTGTGGAAAATTTCGTGTTGCCAACTGTAGAATAGTAATCGTCGCCTACTCTAATTTATTATTTTTTTTGATCGTATGGTACTATAAACTACGATAAAGCAAAAATTGTGAGCACACAGAGTGTAACGGACTATATACAACATTCCACAATATTTTTTTGTTCTGTGCGTATACACAGATCGTTCCACTAGTAGATACTACTAGTAGGTAATACAAGGAACAAGAAAAAAACTTTTTGAAGTTTTTTTTAATTTTTTCAAAATAATTCTTAATGAGTGGAGATTATAACGTGCACATCAAAATTAATTATTGGGAAAATCATAGCTTAAGTGTTTCGTCCATTTCCATTTTTGTTCCATTATTATGTGTTTCCACGTCCCCGCATTGAAGACGTTTTGAACATTGAAAGTAAAGAAGTAATAACTTTGGATAATCTTTTATTCACATTTTATTAAAATCGTAGAAATATATAATATAGTATATTTACAAAAAAAAATAATTATGTACACATGTTGACACAACTATTTCCAAAAAAAAGTATATTACGAAGTAACCAGTGGAAATGACAAAATATAATAACTACATTCCAATACATTACATAAATTATTTTGCAGCAATTATAATAAATATAAAATTTTTATAACTTTTCATCAGGAATATGCACATTCACACCTTTATCTAAAAGTAATTCCACAACATTTACATCTCCACTTTCACAGGAGTAATGTATTGGCAGTTTACCATCTTTATCAGAAATATCCACATTCACACCTTTATCTAAAAGTAATTTTACAACATTTACATGTCCACGTTTACAGGCGTAATGTATTGGCAGTTTACCATCTTTATCAGGAATATCCGCATTCACACCTTTATCTAAAAGTAATT